TTTTAATTGCTTAACTGATTCATTTTGTGTGTTGATTGTACATTATAATCCAGAAAGTGATTTATTTTCATTCCTTTATAGGCAAGCAAACAATGGGATTTCCATTATACACTTATTCAGACAGATCTGACAATAAACTCTATCGCCTTCAAACTCCTCAAAGTCCTCTTGTGCGACCACACATGTATGACTACTTTAATATGGATAACTATCCCACAGGGACAAATGCTATTGTAGCTGTCATCTCATACACTGGATATGACATGGAAGATGCTATGGTGTGTATTTGTTTCTTAACTAAATTCAGCTCTACTGGGTATACATTACTACATTAAAGAAGTGGGAGACTACTGAATTTAATGATTGAAACAAGTGGATTTCTTATCTGTCCTTAAAGAATGCGCACTTTATTCTTCCATCAGTGATTGAAAGCCCTACCTGGATCGATCACCTCTGGTATTGAGAGGGACACCTACTTTATAGACTTCTGCCAGTGCTAATCTATCCCAACTCCTTTCTCATTCTTAGTACAGGAGATCTACAAAATCCTGCAACTGGACCAGAGCAGGTATATTGAGGATCATGTACATGTTGACAAGTTTAGTCATGCTGCATTAATACTGGCATTTAGAAATCATTGAGGTAAACCTATGAAGGTAATCACTGCCTACCTCCTATTTTATTATCTGGATTTTACAGTGCAGATTTTCATTTGTTTTTCATACATTTACAGTTGGCCCAACTTTTCCATGTGATTTGATTTGAGAAGTAAAATTTTCCATTTGGGTGCGAGCAGTTGTCCTACTCCGCAAAGCAGCAGTGACTGAGCATCTTGTCAAAATTGCAAAATGCACTAGTTATTCAAGCATACACATGTAAAACATAGATCACAAGTGTGGTAAGGTTCACAGGACTGTAATTCTCTTATAATGAAGCATTAGCTAATGAGTTAGACAGTGACTCTGGACCAAGGTTTGAATCCAGCTCAATATGATTGGATGAAAGTATCCTCATGTCACTGTAAGGAACCACTGTGAAAGCTGGGACAAAATTACTAGTATGACACAAAGAAGATAGCTGGTGAACCAAATGGAAGGTGACACACTGGTTCAGTTTGTGATGTTCTCAAGTTTGGATAGGGCACTGCAGAAGGAATTTTAGTCTGCAATCTGACTTAAGATTGTACCACACTGGCACCAGATGTTTGAAATAGAAACATTCATCTAACTGTCTCCCACATGAGCAAGTAATTCAAGTACATTATTATTTTTAGAAAACCCCGAAGTATTTTTAATCATCACTATTAAGAAATGTAGTTAGTTAAATTGTAGAGAGCTTGAGGAAAAAACTATTTCTAATGCATTGTGTTTAGTTTTGGAAAATATTTTTGTGTTGAATTGGCTATATGCGTTATTGATTCTAACAGCATGTGTTTCTTTGTATGTAAAATAACAGATTGTCAACAAGGCATCTTGGGAGCGAGGATTTGCCCATGGAAGTGTTTATAAGACTGAGATGATAGACCTTGACCAAAAGGTTAAGCAGAATGATGGCATCTTTGTGTTTGGTGTCAAACCTGGTGATAAACGAACAACTCAGAAACTTGATGACGATGGATTGCCATTTATCGGGGCTGTATTGGAGTATGGTGATCCATTTTATAGTTATGTGAATCTCAATACTGGGGATAGTTCTATAGTATACTACAAGTAAGTTTAAAAAAAAATCATCTCTGGTGCAGATACATATGTTGTTACACTCTTAACATATCAGAGTTTCTTTGCATTGTTTTTGTCAGCAGATCCAACTGAAACCTGAGCTGGAATTTATTTCTTGTAACGTTTAATGTGAATGACTAGTGTTTTTTGCACATTTGCTGACAGAAATGATCACATTTTTCTGTCAATTTATACCATATTTAAAGAAATACACTAACTGGTATTTCACTCTGTTGCCATTTGTGAGATTTTACTGGTGCAGATTTGGCTGTTGTGTCAGACTACGTAGTAACAGTGACTGCTTTTCAGAAATGAGTTTGCTTTGTCATGTGATTAAGATGCTTTGATGGTAAGATAAAGCAATATAGTAATGCAAATCCTTTTTGTAATCCATGAGCCTGGAGATGCAGTCAGAATATTTTTCCAGATTCCCACCCTTTCCCCAAAAATGAAAACAACATTTCAGAGGTTTTGGTAAAATATGGCCACTTCTGACATGGCTACACCACATTTCCAGATTAGAGCTTAGGCTGTGGGTGAAATCTCATTGTGATATCTAACATTCATGAAATGAACCTGCTTGAGTTTGGGGAGTACTTTTTAACCAGACACTGCATTAAAGATTGTGAATAGATTTAACTTCTTTTAATGTGCTTATTTTCCCACAGGAGCAAAGAAAGCTGTGTTGTAGATAACATTAAAGTCTGTAGCAATGACAATGGAACAGCAATGTTTAAACGGGTGTGCATCACAATGAGGGTCCCTCGTAATCCCACAATTGGAGATAAGTTTGCTAGTCGACATGGTCAAAAGGGCATCTTGAGTAGATTGTGGCCAGCAGAGGACATGCCGTTCACAGAAAGTGGAATGACGCCAGACATTCTGTTCAATCCCCATGGATTCCCTTCACGTATGACCATAGGGATGCTGATTGAAAGCATGGCAGGGAAGTCTGCCGCCATGCATGGCCTGTGCCATGATGCCACCCCATTCATGTTCTCTGAGGAAAATTCTGCCCTGGAGTACTTTGGGAAGATGTTGCAGGCTGCTGGCTACAACTACTATGGTACAGAAAGGATCTACAGTGGCATCAGCGGGATGGAGCTGGAGGCGGATATTTTCATCGGGGTGGTTTACTACCAGCGCCTGCGTCACATGGTATCTGACAAGTTTCAAGTTAGAACTACTGGGGCGAGGGATAAAGTGACTAACCAGCCCTTGGGAGGGAGAAATGTCCAGGGTGGTATTCGATTTGGGGAGATGGAACGTGATGCCCTGCTAGCACATGGAACGTCCTTCTTGCTTCAAGATCGCCTGTTCAATTGCTCTGACCGATCTGTAGCCCATGTGTGCATCAAGTGTAGTAGCCTTCTGTCGCCAGTACTGGAAAAGCCCCCGCCATCATGGTCTGCTACACGTCACAGGAAGTACCAGTGTACTCTCTGTCATCAGTCCGACACCATTGAGATTGTCTCTGTGCCATATGTTTTTAGATACTTTGTAGCTGAACTGGCAGCGATGAACATTAATATTCGTCTTGACGTGAGATGATATGACAGATTCACTTTAGTGAGTTTTTTTAAATAAATGGATTTCACTCCATTTGTTCAATTTATACAGTGAGTGGACAAAGGTGACATCTGATTTAAAAACTGCTGTGCTGAAAGATCAGTGAAACTATTTCAAACTGATTTGTATTTAGATTTTGCTGTAGACTCTTGGTGGCAGCATATGCACTGATATGTCATGGACTTTGTCTGAGAATTAAGTTACTTTTGATTGAATGCAGAAAACAAACTGGAAGTTACATTTGTCAGAGAAGCTTTTGGGTGAATTGTATTCTACACTGCAATATTTACTGAATTTAACATGGTTTAATTTTGTTGTGCTATAAAAGAAATTGCGGTCTCAATGCACAGTCTGAAGTCTGCATTGTGAAGGTATGAGGAGTGCTGCTATGCAAACAGCTCAACAGTAAATATCATTTATTTTTGAAGAAAAATGACTTTTGCTCTCATTTCCAAGCATCATTTCTGCCAGAAGAGCTCTTTCTGATCCACTTGAGCTCATTCTCAAATCTCAGCTTTGGCACTTTAAAAGAGATTGTCGGCTACACTGAACTGCTTCCTTTTTTGGATCATCATTCCTTCCCTGGATAGAGTCTGATTACTTGATTTCTTGCACCCGTTACAGAAAAAGGAAAATCAATTTTTTGGGAATTTGAAATTGCAATTTCAGTTGATGACTTGAAGAAAGTTTCACTGCTGAAGATATTTAAGAGAATTTCTGCTTGTCCTAATGACAAGGATTAAAAATTGTTGCACTCTCAAAATTTCTTCCTTAACTAATATCGGAACAAAAATTCATTTGATCATTCATCTCATCTAATTGCTTGAGTAAATCATTATATTTCTCTGTACCTAAAACAAAAAGCATTTTGCTTAAGGCAAAATACAATTACACATATATGTGAGTTATAATAAGGTATTATACAGATACAAGTCTTCAAGTATTGCATTAGAAGTTCCAGCAGGACTTGTTTTTTGCATCTGGTTCACAAATCTGAGTTATGGTTTAAAGAATCAAATATTAGCACATGTGAATCTTTCACTGTACAGATATTTCACTGGACAGGGATCTGATGTTATGAACTATTATATCCAGAAATTCTGAAGAAACTTTAAGCAGTTTGTGATAGCTTCTGATTTAAAATTTACAAAGGGTTACAGTACCTGACACAAGAAATTGCTGATTAATGTGATAACTATCGCAATCTCACAAGAAACTGTGATAAGTTTAAATAACTTGCATTGAAACCACACCTTGAGTACTGTATTCAGTTGATTGTCACTGTGACAACAAGGGAAACATTAAAGGGACTGTAGACAAGAACCAAAGGACTGTTCCTTACCATTAGTGGTTGGGCTCCTCAGGAAAACTGGGCCTTTCAATCATGAAAGGAGATGTTATGGCGGTATGTAAGACTGTTAAGGGTACAGAGAAAGTAAATAGATTAATGCCTTAAATTATGGAGGTATAAAATTTGTTAAAATTCTTGAGGCTAGTGTTTATTTTTTACCCTCAACACAACAGCAACAACAGTTCTGAGGAAGGGTCACCGGACCTGAAATGTTAACTCTGATCTTTTCACAGTTGCTGCCAGACCTGCTGAGCTTTTTGAGCAACTTGTGTTTTTGTTCCTGATTTACAGCATCCGCAGTTCTTCCGGTTTTTATTTCTTACCCTAGTTGTCTTTTGAAAACTGTATTGAGGTACCTGTTTGAACTGCTGGTCTGTATGGTCAGGCTGCTCTTCAACACTATTACAATCCAACAGTTTGAGTTGTTTTTATGACAATCTGACTTCAATACTCTGCTGAGGTTCCAGCAATTAAAGTGTTTTTGAATGGGGGCCCCTAGCCTGGGAAACTGCAATCTTAGGATCGCTTGCCATATTCCTCACCTTGTGAACCTTCTTCCTGCACACAGGAATACCAGCAACACCAGCAATAGATGGAGGAGGCCCTTAAATGGCCAATTAATACTTAAGGGCTTCAATTGGCAATGGGATGGGAAGTTGTCCATGGGCTTTTCTGCTTCAAACTTTATTGGGTGGGCAAGATGCTGATGGGGTCTCCACCTGCTACCCTCCTACAGGATTAAATGCCTGTCTTTCCCCACTGTTGTTGGAGAAAGGCATAAGATTCCACCCCAGTCTGACACACACCATACAACAATGGAACACACATTCAGACTACTAAAAAGCTATTTGAAAACTACTAGTAGAACATTTTTCTTACAATTACCAATACATGGAACAGAATCCAAAAACCCTAAAATCATTGTTTTTAAAGAAACAGTTGGATGCCACAGAGTGATGGAGGGTTTCTGGATATCAGAGTGTTTGAGTAGATGAATTAAGATGGGTTGTATTGCTTTCCTCATGCCTGATGAACCAATCCAGATTGCACATGTGACATTTTAAATGGGATGAATTTAGCTTCAGTCAGTCAGCTCAGGTTGTCACTTAAACACAGTGCACTTACATTAAAACAGAGACCCATCCACATTCTTCAGCACAGATTTTATTCTTTTTCTATGCAGAGTTTTTGAACACAAAATTAAGTTTGGGTTATTCAAATCTGCAGGTTACAAAGAACAGTCAGGTTTTTGAAATCTTTCCTATAATATGCAGGTGCTATCTGTGCACAATTGTGGATGAGAAACTGCAGTAATATAATGCCAAAAATTGTGCAATACCTGATTGTAATCAGTTCATATATGATTGCAGACAGCTACTGGTGCCTTCCAGTAACTAGGCATATTTTTAAATTTTGCTCTGACCAAAAGCTTTGTGCTATCAGTCTATCTTTATTATCTGATTAATGTACAGATTTCATCAACAGCTACGTGCACGTTTACTCCTAGGTACATTCTTACCTTTCAGTCAACCCGTGGTTATTTGAAATGCATTTAACTGCAGAACACCCATTTATAAATTGTGAATCTGCAGTTTGAATATCATGCATTAATGTATGAAAATGCCTGAAAACCAAGAAATCTGGCATCCTTTATCATGTGAGTTTCTATATTTTTACAAGAAAAATAGTGGAGATGAATTTCTCCCTTTCTTACTATTCATTTGAGCTTCACTATAAATTTAATATACTGAGGATAGTTGTTGCATTTAAGATTTTTCTCATACTTTAACACAAAATTCATATCTCTTTGAAATAAAAAAAAGGCTAGATCTTTTAACATGTTTCCTCCTGCTTTTGCTACAGGGATGAAAATTAAGTTGGTACCCTTGTTTCTATATCCTTGATGCCAGTTGAGTAATACCAAGAAAAAAATTCAGCCATGCTTGTTTTTGTAAAACTGATAACTTTTTTAACTTGCATATTTATATAACTTGAATTCATATAGCAGTTTTTCATGTGATTAAAAAAATTAATAATGCACATCTGAGGAAATAAATAAGAAAATGTTAACACTAAACAAGAGTTATTAGGGTAGGTGACCAAATTTTGGTCAAAGAGGTAGTATTTTAAGGAAGTAGAGATTCAAGGAGTATTTTTGAAGAGGAAGGTTAGGCGGAGAGCTTTAGGGAGGGAATTCCAAAGTTTAGGGCCTAGGCACCTTAATGAACCCTTAGTGGGGAGTCGATGGTGTAGTGGTAATGTCAATGAACTAGTAATCTGGAGTCCCAGGCTAATGTTCTGGGAACATGGGTTTGAATTGGAGTAATTCAATAAAATCTATTAAAAGCTAGTCTAATGGCAACAATTCAACCATTGTAATTTGTTGAAAAAACCCATCTAGTCCACAAACGTCCTCTAAGGAATGAAATCTGTTAACTTTGCCTTGTCTGGCCTATATGTGACTTCAGATTCACAGAAATGTAGTTTCTTAATTGCCCTCTGGGCAGTCTGGGCAATAAATAATGGCCAGACAACAATGCTCATATCCAATTTAATTTTTAAAAAAAAATTATCGTCAAGTGGATTTACTGCTGCCATTCTCTTTCTTGGTATGGATATACAGGACCTTGATGGCCTTGTGTAGGACAACTTACTTGGTAGTCTAACAAGAAGTGCCTCTTAAACACAATGTAATTTATTGCATGATAACAACTAGGTACAATTTATGTTGGTATGAATGAACATGGTATAAGACTGAAGGAGACAGCAATGTTAGGTCTTTATCCCTTTGAAGCCCAAAGGTGTTTTGTTTTTTGCTCCAGTCCATGTGATATCATATTGGGCAGTGCTTAATGGACTCTTCAGAATGAACTCGGAGACTCTTTTATGCTGTTATACAACAGAAAACGTGGCCATCAATGGGACAGCGGTTAAAAATGGGGATGCTCAAGAGGCCAGAATTAGAAGTGCTGTTGACTCAGTTGTAGGTCTCGGACATTATGGAGAAACGGAGCGTTAAGGCCGTAGAAGGATTTGAAAACAAGTGTGAGAATTTTAAAACTGAAGCATTGTTTAACTGGGAACCCTAGCAGTATGGCCTGGGAACTGACCCATCCAGCCTGCTCTGCCATGAAATATTATTGTAGCTGATTTTAAGCTTCCACCCACTTTTACTGCTCTACAAATCCATTAATTTCCTGAGACTAAAAATCTATCTTAATCTTAAAATATTCAAAGATAGAGCATCCATAATCTGCTGGAATAAAGAATTCCAAAGATTCACGATGTCCTTTGAGTGAAGTAAATTCTCATCTCAATTGTGAATGATCAGCCTCTTAGCATGAGGCTGTGCTCTGGTGCTTTAGATTCACTGGCTAGTAGAAGCCATTGCTTAATACCTATCTTCTCAAACCCCTTCAGAATGCTGTGTGTTTCAGTAAGGATGCCTGATTCTTCTAAGGTCCAGAGAATATAGTCCCAATTTTGTTTAATTCATTCAAGTGATATTGGCATCATCAGCTAGAGCAGCATTTGCGGCCCATCCCTAATTGCCATTCAGAAGGTGGTGGTGACCTGCCACATTGAATTTTTGCAGTCTATGGGGTGTCGGTACATCAGTGCTGTTGGGAAGTGTTCCTAGATTTAAACCCTGCAATATTGAAGGAATGGAGGTATAGTTCTAAGTCGGGTTGGTGTGGGGTCTGGAGAGGAACTTGCAGGCAATAGCACTCCCATGCATCTGCTGCACTTTTGAAAGTTGGTATTGACGCAGTCCTGGTGATTTGGGCTGTGCACTTTGTAGATTGTGTACACTAAATTAAAGTTCAAAGTGGTGGATAAAAGTTTTAATCAATGGATTGCTTTATTCTAAATGGTGTCAAACCCCTTGAGTGTTGGAGCTATACTAATCCAGGTGAGTGAAAAGTATTCCATCATGCTCCTGACTTGTGCTTTGCAAATGATAAACATGCTTTGGGAGAATTACTTGGCTCAGAATTTCCAGCCTCTAATGTACTCTAGTAGCCATAGCTTTCAAATGTCTGGTTCATTTTAGTTTCTGATCACTGCCTGGCACTGAAGCTCTGATGTTACCTGGCAATTGTAAGACCAAGCCTGTATGTTGTCCAGGTTGCTGTATTTGGACTCTGATTGCTCCAGTATCTTAGGATTTGTAAGACGCTACTCTACTCTCTAGTAATGTCTTGTGGGTTAGATGATTGACCTCAAACCATCAGGTATGACCCCAATCAGTAGAGAGATTTTCCCTGATTCCGATTGACTCTTATTTTGCTAGGCTCAATGCCTTACTCGGCTAAATGCTGTGTGATGTCAACAGCAATTACACTCTCCTCACCTCTACAGTTCAGCTCATTTGACCATTTTTGGACCAATGCTGTAACAAGGTCAGGAGCTGACTGGCCTCAGCAGAAATCAAACTCATCCCATTGAGCAAGTTATTACTGAGCAAGTACTGCTCGATAGAACTGTTACAGCAATTTGCTGATGTCTGAGAGCAGACTCACAGGGCAGTAATTGGCTTGGTGCATTTGACTTGCTTTTTGTGGACATGACTTACCTGGATAATTTTTGGGTAGTTGTTTTTATTTGAATATGGGTTTGGGGTCACTTGTACATCCCCACTTGAACTGACTTGCTTGCTCGGGCAGTTTTAGAGAGCAGTTAAGAGTCACCCATGTTGCTGTGGGTCTCGAGTCAGATGTAGGCCAGACCAAATAAGCATGGAAGATTTGTTTTTCTAAAGAATATTCGTGGTTTTTTACAATAATCACCAATGGTAGCCATTAGGCTAGCTTTTAATTCCAGATTTTTATTGATTGAAACTTCACCAACTACCATGGTGGAATTCTATCTCCCTACAACATTATTGGTCCAGTGACAATACCACTGCTCCACCTCCTCCCCTTCAGTGTTGTGCTGGAACAGCTTGGCTACGGGTATGGCTAATGCTGGAGCATAGATCTTCCCTAATATTTTTAGAATGCTGCTTGGACTCATGGCCTTTTCAGTATTCATATGGAGTGAACAGAATTTGCCAAAAATGGCATCTGTGATGCTAGGTCCCCTCAAATAGAGGCCACAATGAATAGCCACTTGGCACTTGCGGTTGGAGATGGTTACAAACACCTCTGCTTGTCTTTTGTACTGATATACTGGCCTGCATCATCCGTCAATGCTGAAACTCTGGTCTCTGTTGTTCTGGCAGTAGCTTTAGCCTGCCAAATGACGAGCAAAAGAAGGCTACTGTCCCCGAAGTACTGATTCTGGTGAAATGTCAATCTCTGGCCATGGCCTGAATGGCTCATGGTTTAGCAAGCCTTCCTGAAAAGAAACAATGTAGGTCTCTCACTGCCACTACAGCTGGTAGGTGAGACACCCTACACCTCAACAAGATTCTGTCCTATTTCTACCCTCAGGTTCCCCTCCCTACAATATCATGTCTTTGGTTTCTATTTCATAAACCTTTAAAACAGTTAATGATTAGGAAGCCTGAATACATTTGAAATAATTCTGTGAAATAATTTATTCACCATTTAAGGGTGTTTTTAAAGAAAAAAAAAGTCACTACTTCAATGCCTATCCATCATTTGAAAAGGGTATTAATTATTGATTGTTGGTAGATGATTCATTCATGGATACCATTGGTTGTCTCAATACTGTTCAGTGAAGGATGAGCTGAAAGATAACTTGGTCCACTTCTTGTGACTGGGTTGCCAATGTGCAACCTCTAATCTGGCTGACATCACCTGGGATCTGGTGCCTCACTCAGTATGGTCGGCACTAAAACACAGTTACTCAGCTTAGAAGATACTTCAGATATCACAATTCTGCAGCTTAAAATCCCAAACACTGGAAAATATGAACTTTTAAAATAGAAAGCAAAACAAATTTGCATAAATCTTGTACAACGCTAAAACAAAATCAAGATCACAGAAATTAAAGAACAAATGGTTTCCAATCTGATTTCTGTTCTATATGAATACTGGTTTTAGACCATGTTGCTTTTCCTGATAATTGTCACAAGATAATTGTCACAAATTAATTGCTGCCTGACTGCACATTCTAAAAACAAAGATTAATGTCCTGCAGTTAAAATAACTTCCCTTTGTCATTGTTATTTTTATCAAACTAATATATTAGCATTGATAGCAAATGACAATAATTTAGTTCCACGTATTTAAGAATGTTCAAAACATCTAAAATTTTATTTTTTAAACGTGAAGTTTTAAAAACTTCAACATGCTTGTATACCTTCTATAACTGAGCTTTAAAATTTAAAGTTCTTAGGATCTACTATATTTTTAAATTGTATTTTTGGAAAACAATTATTTACTATTTGATTTGGGTAATGGTTTGATGTACATATAAAAATTAGATGCCAGTCTGCCAAGTAATTAAGATAGAAAAGTCTAGAGTACATCCTTAAACTTCACCTTTTAAGCATTTTTCCCATTAAAGTAGGTAAAGTATATAGGAGTATAGTGTTCCTAGTTAAACTTTATCTTTAATGTTTTCCAAAATATCCTTAACTTCTAGTACTGATTTCACAGTATAGTCAGGCATTGCACTGTCTCTGTCAGGTTTTAGATTATTGTTGTTTATCCAGATAGTTGCTGTAACACCAGCATTCACCCCACCTTTAATATCAGTCTTTAGATCATCACCGATCATCACACAAGCACCAGGCTTCACTTCCAAGAGCCTGAAACATTCTTGAAATATAGAACTGGCTGGTTTCTGCTCTCGCTGTTCTCCACCTACAACTATCACGTCAAAGTACTGCTCACATTGGCAAACATTAATCTTTTCCCTTTGTACCGCGGAACTTCCATTGGTTAGTAAGAGCAACTTGTAGGACTGACGTAGCTTCCTCAACATGGCCTTCACCTCGTCTGGAATGTGGATATGGTTGAGTCTTGTATTTTTCCACAGAAAATAACATTCAGCAGCCAACCCCTTGTCTGGTTTACTCCCATTTGTTTCTTGTATAGCCAATTCAAAAAGTAATGTGCGCTCTTTATCAACATCTCTCTCCATAGAGGAATTAGGATGCCCATTCTCCAACTTCAAATAAAACTTCTCAATAACTAGATGAGCAGCAGACTCTTCGTAACCATGTTGTGTTATTAATAGATCCTTGACCTGTGTTTTTTGGGAGGGAAAATAACAGTATAAATCCAAATTAAAATGATGTCTAAATGATGTGGAATACTTCTTTTCATTTCTTTATCAAAACTACCACATTTGCATATACAAAGCCACAAATTACTTTAAGGATTGTGATTCATGAAAGTCAGTGGGAAAGTGTTTTATGTTCACCTTCACAACACTAGGTAGGCGGAGGTAATATTTAACCTCTGACAGTTTATCTTTAAGCAATATAGCTCAACAATTAATAGACAGATTTCAATGAAGCATATTACACAGACATGGCTTGTACCATGTAGAAAACAATTTATTTGGTGAAGATGTAGATCTGGATCCTGGCGATCTTGCAAGGGTCTATTAATATTTGGAGATTGGGCAAATTGACCTTTTTGAAGAATACTGTGGATTGTCTCAGCAGCTGTGAAAGAACTTACCACAGCTATCAAAATATGAGCAGTCTTGCCAGACAAAAGAGAGGGAAATAACTACCATAATATGAGCAGAGTTTTCAGAGCTGATTGCTGAACACAAATTGGCTTGAGATGGAAACTCCTCAAAAACAAATTTTTTTCAGATTTGTAGTTATACAGCATCAACCAGACAGAGAAAAGGAAGAGAGACATAATTGTTTGAAAATTGAGTTGAGTTATCTGTGGTGGATGCATGCACTTTTTCAGTGTACTTTTCACTTGTATTTAATGCATTCCCATTTCTTACATAAAGACATTTGACTCATTGAAAACAAGATATTCCCTGAAAGGCTGTTTAACAATAGAGCATTCCAAGAATGATCCCTAACCTTAGAACAGCTTGTCACATGCTGGGAATGCAGTAGTTTTGCACCCTGTTTATATTGTTTGCTTGCCATTAATTGCATGTGGTTTTAGCAAATGCATACAGAAGACAGTGCATTTTTGTCCATTGTAAATATCAGGACAGCATGCTGCCTGAGACAGAATCACTAGAATTTAGGGTTGCCAACAGACCAAATAACAAACATTTTCCAGACCCTTCTGTGGTTCATACAAGAACCAAAGAAATTTGGAATATAAGCCAAGAAAAAAAACCAAACAAAAAAAATTCAAAGCAAACCAAATTGAATTTTTTAAGAGGTGGATTATCTAGTAGTCAAGGGAATGTCTAATTATATGGATTTGCAGAAAATATTTGATAAAGTCTGAAATAATTGCACAGACACCGGTATCTCATCATCAATTTACCTTTTAATTACACATGGAAAGTCCTTGACACTGATTTAGGTCAGTCAGTGCTAGCTCTCAGAGTGACAGAATATTTGACAGTCCTGTTTTTAATCTGTGAGCCAGGGCTCCCTGATTGGACTAGATTAAGAGCTTCAATCAGGAAACTCATATTTTATGAGGTTCAAGTGGACATTATAATCACTATATCCCTCCATCTCTGAGTCCAAGGACATAGGCCTTTTTTTTTGGTAGCTCCTCCTGGGGCGTTTTGGCACTGTGTCAGGTTCTTTCAACTCTGCCTGATTCAGACAGCGTGTAATGCACAGTAGTTTGCCTCTTGTATCGGTAGAACCTTGGAAGAAATTAATTCTCTTCTTCAGATGGCAAAAGGCATCGAGGTGGCAACATCTGCTATGTCCCCTCAGATTCTGAGTTCTCTTCAATACTTGACAGAGAGGGATAACACACTGGTTCCAGCAGTCTTTCTGACTGTTCGGAGGAGGTGGGTAAGTTTTGCTCCCACTCTGTCTGCGAGTTTGAAGGTTTAATATGGTACACGCTTATTCAGGACCATCGCACCCACCTGAACTTCATACATCACTGAACATGACTTCACGTCAACCATGCAGGGCCATTCCCGTGGTTCCCACACCAAACTTTGTCCCCTGAAGTAAATTGTCCGTCTTGCTTAGTGGAGTATTGTATTCAGCGCCATTAGACAGCTCTACACCCAGAAACATCAAATTTAACTTGATACGCAATCTTCTCCCAATTAGGAACTCTGCTGGAGCTATTCCTATATCCCTGTTGCCTGAAAGGTGGTCCTATAATCAAATAGGAACCAAAGCAATTTGGTATCTCGTGAAACTGTAGGCTGTTTCTTTTAAGCTTGCCTTCAAAATTTAGACTGCTGTTTTTGCCAGATCATTGGATGATGAATGATATGGAGCTGTCCGTATATGTCAAACAACATTCGACTTTAGGAAATACACAAATTCCCTGCTGGTAAACAATGGCTTGTTTTCTGTGACCAACACTTCCGGGAGTCAGTGTATTGCAAAAGATGCACACGTTTGATGAATGAACTCTATGCATGTCCAGCCACTTCAACTGGGTGTCCAAAATGACAAAGAACATTGAGTCCCATGAAAGGACCTGTATAGCTAATGTGTAACTGAATCTAGGGTTTATTTGGCAATTCCCATGAATGGGGGGGCTGCTGGTGGTAATTTTTGTACTTGTTGGCACTCTGGGCACTGCTCCACCAGCCATAACTTCTTGCCAACATCTTCATTTGGGAAACTCCTGGATTACTGTGCCAGAGTTCAGCCAGTATCTGGCAGTGACCATTGCTCAGGACAATCACTCTTGCCACCAATCTGATCCTTTATTACTACAAAATTTACATTCATAAAAGGTATTGATGGAACTTCCTGACTCTGACTATGACTGCCAAACCTTCCTCTCTATCTGTGCGTATTTATGCCCTGCATTCGCCACAGTCCTGGATGCGTACGCTCTTGGGTGTACTTCTCCATTGGGCCACCAATGAGGCAATACTACCCCAATGCCATTTGGGGAAGCATCACATGTCAATACCAGATCTTATTTAGGATCACAGTATGCCAACATCTTAGAGGATAATTGCTTTTTCTTCATTTCCCTGAAAGCTATGGCTTAGCTATGTGACCATTTCCATGGCTGACTCTTTTTTAAGAGTTGATGTGAGTGTGCCAGGATAGAGGCCAGGTTATCTGTGAACTTTCCATAATAATTCACCAAACCAAGGAAAGACCCAAGCTCTGGTATAGATGTGGGAGCCCAGGACCTTTGATTGCCGTCACTTTATCTTCCAACAGATCTAACCTGGTCTTGTCAACTCTGTAGCCCAAGTAGGTCATCTGGGGTACCTGGAACACATGTCTCTCCCCTCTAAGGCACAAGCCCACCTGGGAAAAATGTCCAAGGACTATGTCCATGTTCTCTAAGTGCTCCCTATTGGTGTTCCCAGTTATTAGCCAGTCATCAGAATAAATGCAAAACTGGGATAGACCTTGTAAAATGTTCTCCATCGTCTGCTGAAAAATTGCATAGGCTGGCAATACCCGAAATGGCAGTCTTGTATATTGGTACAAACCCTTATTGGTAGTAATTGTAGCGTACTTCTGGGAATCGTGATCTAACCGCAAGTATGCATGGCTCAAAACAAAGAGTGGGGAGAAATGGAAATTTTTTTGTTTGGCAATCAGTGGCTATTGGTTTGCCTCAGGGATCAGTATTAGGACATTGAGACAACAAGGTGCAGGGCTGGATGAACACAGCAGGCCAAGCAGCATCATCTCTGATTCGGTATTAGGACATTAATTGTTTACAATTTACATAATGATTTAGAGCTGGGGACAAAGTGTAGTGTGCCAAAATTCACAGATGACACGGAGTGGTGGAGCAAAGTGCATAGAGGACACAGAAAGTCTGCAGAGGGATAAAGATTCATAGAGTCATATGGCATGGAAACAGACTCTTCGGTCCAACCAGTGCCGAACATAATCACAAACTAAACTAGTCCTATCTGCCTGCTCCTGGCCCATATCCCTCCAAAACTTTCCTATTCATGTATCCATCCAAATGGATTTTAAACGTTGTGACTGTACCCGCGTCCACCACTTCCTCAGGAAGTTCATTCCACATGCAAACCATTCTGTGTAAAAAAAAATTCTCTCGTGTCTTTTTTAAATCTCTTTCCTTTCACCTTAGAAATGTGCCCTCTAGTGTTGAAATACCCATCTTAGGGAAAAGACAATTACCATCAACTCTATCTATACCTCTCATTATTTTATAAACTTCTATTCAGTCACCTCTCAACCTCCTATGCTCCTGAAAAAAAATCCCAGTCTATCCAGCCTTTCATTATAACTCAAATCTTCTGTACTCAGCAAGATCCTGGTAAATCTCTTCTGAACCCTCTCCAGCTTGATAATATCCTTCCTATAACTGGACGAACAGAACTGGACACAGTATTCCAGAAGAGGCCTCACCAATGTCTTGTACAACCTCAACATAACATGCTAACTCCCAATCCTTTCCTTTCTTTTAGCTTTACTTGTTGCATTCCCTGTCACCATGTCTTCTGTCCCCTTCCCCCACCCCAGTGGAACTGTGTTCTCTTTGAAATCTGGCAGTTAGATATCATTGTTCTGCCATTCTCACATTCCGATCAATTAATCTGAATTTATATTAACATCCTTTCTCCTCCAGCACTCCAACCCCCTCCCAACTAGCATAAATGCTGCCCCGTCCACACTTCTCTTCAGCTTTGATGAAGAGTCATCTAGACTCGAAATGTTAGAGATAAAAAAAACTGCAGATGCTGGAATCCAAGATAGACAAACAGGAGGCTGGAAGAACACAGCAAACCAGGCAGCATCTGAGAAAAGGAGAAACATTAGCTTGCTGTCTCTCCATAGTTGCTGCCTGACCCGCTGTGATCTCCAGCATTTGTCGTTTTCAGAGTAGTTCTCCTGACCACTTGTGGACCTGCAACTTTTTTGGTTATTATGCAAGCCTAACTTCCCCTGAGACACCAGATACTAAAACCTTTCAAGGATTGTCAAATTTAGTTAAGGAGTGTTACGACACCAAGACTCCTCTAATTCTGAGATGCTCTCAATTTTACTCAGTTATTCGAAAACCAGGGTAATCTGTACTGGGATTTTTGACTAGGTAAAGATGATTGGCAGAGGCATGTCACTTTGGTTTAACATGTAAATGAGATGCTAAGACCCCAATTGGTAT